ATTATTATAATATTATATATTATAATATATATTATATATATTATATTATTATAATATATATTATTATAATATTATATAATATAATATTATATATTATTAAAATATTATATATTATATTATATATTATTATAATATTATATATTATATTATATATTATTATAATATTATATATTATATTATATATTATTATAATATTATATATTATATTATATATTATTATAATATTATATATTATATTATATATTATTATAATATTATATATTATATTATATATTATTATAATATTATATATTATATTATATATTATTATAATATTATATATTATATTATATATTATTATAATATTATATATTATATTATATATTATTATAATATTATATATTATATTATATATTATTATAATATTATATATTATATTATATATTATATATAATAATATATTATTATATTATATTATATTATATTATATTATATTATATTATATTATATTATATTATATTATATTATAATTATATTATATATTATAATATATTATATTATATTAGATTGTATTATATTGTAAATTTCGTAAATCATGTTCATATATGTCTTATGTTCTTTGGTGCGCACTGTTTTTCAACTGTAGAATGTTACCCTGTAGTTGTTCTGAGATATGTCACGTTCCATTAGGGTGTTGTTCTTGTTTTGCCTGTTGTACTTAGTAACTTCATTAAAATAAGGTATTTGAAGTACAAACCTACAAGAAAATGTCAATATTGGGGTCTTTCGGAGAAGCTTTTTGGTCAACAAGAATATGGTTGCCACCTAATACAACGTGGGAGGATATCGCTCCTGGTTCTAGGTTAGATGTAAAGCATGCAGATTATAGAGATCTAGTTTGGCCACTCCCGTTGGCTTTAGTAGTGATGATTATTCGATTTGCTCTGGAAAGGTAGGTTATTTTTTATAGTGAAATAAAGAATATTATTAAGTAACAAACGTGAACTTTTAAGTCAAAGATAAGACAAACTCTAAGATATAGAGTGCAGAACATAATTAGTGGCACAGTAAGCATATTGAACTTTATCATTGCTTTTAACCCGGTAATACTGCGATTTTTAATTAGCAAAAAATTTTCAATTGGCAATTAAATTCATTCTATTTTATTATATCAGCCGAAATTCTTTCTCTCCGAGTTTTAAGTAAAAAGCATTAAGTGTGCTTGAAACACTTTTAACATATTTCAAACGCTTGTTTTTTGTGGTGTTGTGTACAATATGAAATATAAAAACAATCACAAGTTAATTTAAATAAAAGAAAAAATTAAAATTAGAAAGGCAATGGTAAGCAATGCATTTGAACTTATTTGTAATTGAAATGTGAGCATTTCAGTATTTTTCATAGGTCTGGAAAATACTGCATGAAACCAATTGCAGTTGGCGTGTTACTAAACAAAAACTGTTTATTTTACAGCTCAGCCACTACAAGCGTTAAGTCTTCGCAATGGAGTAGATAAGCAAGCTAATTGATTTTTAAAACAATGTAATATTTTCGGATGAAAGGAAATTTAATATCTTTCGACCTACTAGCCGCCAAACGCTTTGGAACAACCAAACATCGTATTGCAAATAAAATAATCATACCATATCAGTGAAATATTAGGGGTATTCAGGCAACAGATTAGTTGCTTAGTAGATTAAAAAACTTCATATAAAAAAAATTTTGCATTTTGATGTTAATCAGTTGCTTGAACGACCCAAAATACGTAATCTGATTAGTTTGTTGTGTGCAAATGCCTTGGCAGCACTCGTATCAACAGCAAAAGCGAAACATATGTTAACAGTGAAATACTCAAATATTCGTAAATTTTAATATCATTTGAATTTGTCATATAATTTATCTTATCATATCATATAATTTATCATATAACTAAAATTTCAAACGTGTCATATATCATGATACTTGCTGCACTATTAACCAAATAGATTTTCTGCTTAGTTTCTTTTTGTATGCAAATTTTTGTTGTAATAAACTACTAAGCAACTAATCTGTTGCCTGAATACCCCTATTGTATTTTTTATGGGGATGCATGTCCGTTACAGGTGTCGGCGAATATATAGCCATCCTCAAGAAAAACCTCAAAGTCTCGAAAACTTCAGTTCACCTGCCACATTCAGCTTCTAACATGACAATGATCCACAACATACAGCTTGTGATGTGCGTATGCAGATCACACATAATAAAAAACTCACAAAGCCACATCCTTTTCAATCCCCAGATCTCAACCCCATTGAATGTTTGTGGGAAGAATTGAATTTAGGTCTACATACAATGTACTGTGGTCTAAAGCGCGTTGTAACAACAAAGATGGTACTGTTCCAAGCAAAAGGGCTTGGGCAATAAATATTAATTTTTACCTTAAATTTTTCTTTTTAATTTGGTTTTTAATTTTTGCATAAGGTGTGTTAATAATTTTGTTCGGCCTAATTTAGTACTTTTTATGGTTTTTTAATTTAAAAAAATTAAATATAATAGATAATGAATTTAATTGCAAATTTAGCATTTTATGTAAAAAAATATTTGAATCAGTTTGTTAGGTAGTTTTATTCACATTTGAATATATCAATTGTTTTCTCAAGAGATTATATCTAATATTTTTAAAGGAACTGTATCCGAAATTTATATCCGAATTTTAAGTTGCTTTGAAATTTTTAAGATTACGTAGTTTATTCTATTCAAAAATATTTAGTACAAGACATAGACGATTACTTAACAAATATTAGAATTAAACAGAACATGAAATGAAGCTAAAATTAATATCTTGAGTGGCGCCGGCATTTACACGCGAATTATATACATAAGTACAAGATTTGTGTTTTGCACTAAAATACTAGTTTTGTAGATAGGATTCTAGCATGTTTTAAAATTTTAAGTATCTAATTTTATTAAAAAGTCTCATGTAACACTAAGAAAGGTTTTATTTTTTTAGTATAAAACAAGACAAATATTGTTGAATGTTTTTATTATAATCCAAAGATAATTTCATGGCATTTATTTTTTAAATATGATTTCCGGCATATGTCCGAAGCGGCTATGAGTTACATGGTCCATTGGTGTCAATGGTGGCATGAACATTGGCTTCCAATGCTTCAAGAGTTGCTGGTTTGTAGACATAATCTAATAAATTAACATAACCCAATAAAAGTTATCGAGAGGCGTTACATTGTACGAATAAGGGGGGCAGTTAACAGGACCACTTCTGAAAATAAAGTTGTCACCAAATTAATTTCGCAACAAATCCATTGTTATGCGCGCTGTATGACAAGTTGCGCCATCTAGTTGGAATCAGATGTCGTCGATGTTTAGGTGTTTAATTTTTGGAAACTAAAATTCAGTCAGCATAGCTTGACAGAGGTCGCCATTTACCGTAACTGCAACTCCTTACTCATTTCGAAAAAAATAAACAGTCAATTTTAATAGACGTAATGGTGATCCCTAAACGACTTGAGGATTGACGGCAAATCTTTTTAATTTGAAACACATTTATGTTTTATTATTTTAAATTTATTTTATTTATAAAACTAATAGTTTATTTCGGTACTATACATGGATTATAGTACTGTCCTTTTTGAAGAATAACTCTATATCTAAGACTTCAAACTGAAACTAAGTCTTCACAAAGTTTTTAAAATCATCTTAGGTTCGGTTTCTTATATACTAGTATGCTTCTACAATTCTTAAGCAAACTTTCTATTTACTTAAATTCTATTGGTTAAAATAATACATAATCTAATTTCTACTTACTCATTCCATTGGTTAATTACAATGTGTGTTCTAGTGACACACATCTCATTAAATGTATTATGGACTGATCATATTGCATATGCATTGCATGCAATATGATTACGAAAAACACACTTTACTTCCATGTGGTCTAAATATGGAAATTCAAATAGCCAAGCACATATTGAAGTAATAAATTATGTTGACAAATGTCAACACAGTTTGAAATTCTCAGCCGTCAAACCAAAGTTATTGATATCAATAATTATCTATATTACCTTATTTAATATTAAAAAATACCGCAGAGCAATATTGTCAATGCTGAAACACATGTCAGTGTTTGGCTGAAAAATTACATCAATTTATGTTCAAAACATTGACTTCTCAATATAATGAACTACTTTTGTTTCCTTTGATAAATATGAGCTGTCTATTAGGCGAGTGAAGGTGAATACATTTCATGTTTCTTTATATTTTTTTATTATAATATTGTTCTTTATTAATTTTGCATAATATAACACAGCATTTCATTGTTGTAGAATATTTGTTATAGAATTACTTTTATTTATGTACAAATAAATTTAATAAAGAATTATTAAAAACCATTGATGGCCTGTATAAGGCCATATTCCATTTAAGCCTTTGACCCTACATTTGCCTTTAAGTAATTTTTTTTACATAATAAAATTATTTTTTTATAAATATTTCAGGCGTCTTTTACAGCAGATATTAATAAGCTATCTGGAGATGTCTGTAAGGTTATATTAAAAGCGCTCCAAAAGATTTATGATGAGAAAACTAAATAATTATTATTATTATTATAAAAAATAAATTAAAAATTAATAAAAAGAACTTTGAGTGTGAGAAAATTTTAGAGTAGTTTATGCCCAAAATATAACACGACAATATAGGTATATACATATATACGAAATATTTTAAAATTAAAGCAGACAAGTATTTCCAAATTCAGATGATTATAAAATGGATATTAAATTTACAAGTATTTGCAATCTAAGTTCCATATATCTGTTTCTAGAAAATATCAATTTATATAAACATTAATATAAGTCAATTAATAATTCTATTGTATCAATATTAAATATTACTTCAATTATATCAATATTAAACCAATATGGATTATTTACAATATTAATATCTCTACACTTGAATTGACCACATTAGAATAAATTCTTTAGGTGCCAATTGAAATTATATATTTGAATATAAGTTTTTTCTTATTGAGGAGTGAGTCCCATTGAATTCTGAGCTGTTCTTACGTGTGCCAAAGTTTTGGGCACACAGATCCCTTGGTACCAAACCACCTCTGGTGGGGTTTCGCATTGCGGCAAGTCTTTGGAATGCTCTGCACACTCTGGTTTGTTGCATAATGTACATGCCTTACGAGTAGGGCAAGCACTTGTCGATGTTATCGACGCCACCTTTGGTTTTGTTGTAGTCCAATATAAGCAATGGCTTCTTCTTAGGACCGGTCGTTTCTGTTGTATAATGAGTAATGGACAATATTACAACTGCCTTGTTTTTCTTGAGCACATCGTAATGTGATTATAGAACCCAAACATTGATGATTCAGGCTCACGTCCTTTGGGGTTAACAAATGCTGCTGGCACGAATGTACGCCATTTGTTGCAAATACCCAATATAGATAAATTATTGTCTATCATCAAAGATTTTGCCAAGTTGTAGCTAGCGAAAAAGTTGTCACATACAATATTTCTTCCACCTCCAGCAAAAAGGTTGACACATAAATCCTTTGAAAAAGTCCGATATTGCTGCTGCTTTGTCAGTTTGTTTGCGTTGCTGGCGTGTGTTTCCATTATCAAAACGTATGAAGCGGTTTGTTTCCCAAAATTGTCGTAGACTCATTGCAGTAATGGATATGATGTAGTTTTCCACAAATCTTTCGTATGCACGTAACCAGAATGTGTAACGCCACTTAACAAAATTAAGCCCAAATATACATCAAATTCACTTTTATGAGAATCCAGGATCTCAGTTCGTTTGTTGGATGTTTTGCAATGTCATAGCATTGCCTTGCCTTTCGATTTGATTCAAGTATAATTATTAATTAATTATTATTATTAATTTGAACGTTTCCGCAATGTTGAAACCTTGCGTTGCCCGTACTGGTCCAGATTGTGCACTTCTTTGAATGTTGTGCGGTTGTGGTTGTATCGAAGACTAAACATTACCATCTCTGGTAGTAAAACATTCGCCAGTTTCAATTGGTGCATCTTCAAGCTCTTCATCAGAATTACTGTCGTCCTCTGGGTCATATTCTGGTAGCGTGGGTTCTTCAACGTCTGAGTCATCACCACCAATATCACCTACACATTCACCTAAAGCATCGTCATCAGCTATTGAATCTTGGTCACTTATTTCTTCTTGGCTCTCTTCAAAAGTTTGACGAATATATGATTGTTGCTCTTCGCACGAAAATGCGCTTAGCTGCCGTGGAGTAGGTCATTCATCAGCTGCCATTTCACTTTTATTATTATTTTTTTTTTTATTTCCACAAAATAAACAGAAACGTCTTTTCACTTCGAATCACAAATGTAAACTAAATTTGCTGACGAAACTACAAAGAATGAAATTTCTGATTCAATACATGTTTCTACGTGTGTCTACCTACCGTGTGTCTACAACTAAATGCCAGAGTAAAACTAGTAACACTGGTAAAATAGGTTTTGAACCTTTTGTCTCTTTCTAACAAAACACAAAATAAATACAGAAATCCCAACAAACGAGTTAGATATGCTAACAGCATGCCATTTCCCATACAAAATGTATGTACATACCCAGGTATGTTGCTGTTGACGTGCGTAAACGAGTTCTGCTGTTGCCATAAAGGTTAAAAGCAATAAAACACGAAGATTTTTTTTCAACAATTTAAACATTTTACATTACTTAGGCTCTATCTTAAAACCTATTGCATGAATCATCAATTCTTTTGTTAATATTAGTAAAACGAATTCTTACATTAAATTCGGTCCAAAAAAGTGACAGAAATATTATGACTTTAATTTTAACTGTTTCATCCTCAAATAAGAATTTTTCATGAACCATTAAAACAGTAAATTTATTCAAATCCTTTGAAATTAAGAAATAATAAAAAAATTACTCGTGATGAATTGATAATGTCAACTCAAATTACTCCGCAACTATATGTCAGAATAATCGCATAACATTCCCGTTACTTTTTTCATATAATTTAATAAAACTTTCACAGCAAAAAAACAAAATTTCAGAAAGATGTGCGAACATAAAAGTCAAGTACGGTTTTGGGTCAGTTGGTTACATTGCGCTGACTCTGAGCTTTAAATTTGTGCAGATCACGAATTCGATTTCTAGTACTTGCAGTCTCAAAGAATTATTTACGAATAATTAAATGCAAGAATTGTTTCCAAGACCACTGATGATGGGTATTTGGTAATACTTGAATTAGCTGTATGGTCAGCCAAAAATTCAATTTTGGTTGTAGTTCATTACTGTTCGAAAAACCTCCATATAAATTAATGTAAAAATTGGTTTTGTTGATATTAAAGTAAAGTATGGTTTATACAATTATTTTTATGATAGAAACTAAATACACTGAGTAAAATATTAAATCTATTCAAATTACCGGCAAAATACATCGAAAAATAATATTCAGTATTTTGTTTTATAAATTTATTAATGTTACCATTATATGTTTTCAGGTATTGGATCGCACCTGTTGGCAAATCTTTAGGCATAAGAAATTTAAAACCAAAAAAAGCTCCCTTTAATAAAGTTTTGCAAAAAGCATTTGAAACTTCATCCAAACTAGATCATCAAAAGGTAAGAGCAATAAAATATGAATGACTAGAAATACATCAATATTTAGAGTTTAGTTTAAATCTATTAATAATAAAAATCAAATACATAATATATATTTATGTAGATTAACGTATTATTATTTGTAGATAATCGAACTTTCAAAGCATACAGATTTAACTAAACGTCAAGTTGAACGCTGGTGGCGTTTACGAAAGGCACAAGATAAACCGTCCACTTTGACCAAATTTTGTGAAACAACATGGAGGTGTATATACTACACATACAGTTTTATATTTGGTGTTATAGTGCTTTGGGATAAGCCATGGTTTTGGGACTTAAAAAACTGTTGGTATGGTTACCCACATCAGGTATATTTATATATATAACTAATGATATGTTGGGCATTTCCCATGTACTTTGTACAATAAATACCTGAAGAAATTTTTCATATTTACTTTCGTTTATTTTAACAATTGTGCGTACACATAAATTACTATATTAAGTAGATTAAAAAACGAAAATCAGATTTTAATTAAACGTATCCTGTACAAATAAATCATTATTTAAAACAATGATTTATTTATAAATAATACCACATCAGAAACTTGCTAATTCTTTACAAGAAATCAACAAGGTTGAATTAATCAATTCTCTTGAAACACAATAATTTTCTACCTAAACCTTATTGACTAATAGTTTATTTTGACGACAAATAAAAAAAATTTTTATTACTTTTACGGTTGATTCCAAATTTGAGTAGGCTATCTCCCTTATGGTATGTTAATAGTTGCAAACTTTTACCGTAACAGCGTGCTAATAATCTATGAGATTATTAGCATAAAAACAAATAAAAAAATTAAAACAAAATTATGCAATTTTCAACATTTGTATTCTGTTTATTTGTTTTAACTGTTTTTACTCCAAAAATTTAAAAATAAAATAACCAAAAAAATCAACTCTATTGTGGAACACCAAAGAAATTGTTCCAAAAAGAGTTCAAATTTACAACAACTAGTCATATTGACTAACAAGAGTTTTTTTTTAATTAATATTACAAGTAAGTTTACATAAGTCTATCTAAGGTGAGCATATAGATCTGAGCTAGTCATCTCCTTGCTGGTTGAAACGCCTCAAAAAGTCATTTGGTTTGAAGCGACATAAGCGTCTGTGAGTGTCATCGCAAAGTAACGCCGGAATGGTGCTGTTTATGTGTTGCCTCAGCCTGTCTAATGTGTTTTAGCAGCCTTCTGTATTTCTTGCTTGACAGTAGGTATTTTAAGGTCATGATGTAGATCAGCATTTCGTACGTACCACGGAGCGTTAACTGCATCCCTGAGTGCTTTATTTTGAAATCTTTGCATCATATCTATTATATGTTTTTTTGAACAACCCCAAATTTGACCACCATAGAGCAAAATCAGCTTGAATACTTGTTTATAGATCATGAGTTTGTTTTGCTGAGATACTTTAGATCTCCTTCCAATAAGCCAAGTTAACTTTTTGTATTTTATATTCAGCTCAGTCAATTTTTTCTTGACGTGTACCTTCCATCTCATTTTGGCATCTAGACTCATGCCCAGATATTTCGCAGAATTAGCAACTGGAATTTTTACGCTATTTAGAAATAATGGAATTTGATTTTCTCTTTTGTTAGTAAAGTCTACATGAATAGATTTTGAACTGTTTACTATCAGCAAACAATCTAGAGTACAAAGAAGCGCCACGCTCATACAAACGAAATACCCACTTTATTTTGCTGGTGGATTTATAATAAATCCACTCAACCTCATGCAACGATGTTCGATCGTATCACGACTGGTATGATGTTCAGTTCAAACTCATTGCAACCCACAATTGTCTTCATACGCCTGTTTCTTTTGCCTTTCTTGTTTTTATTTGTCTTGTTTATTAATATACATTGATTAGTGGCGAAATGCTTAGTAAAGAAATCCCTGAAACAATTTTTCCATATACTTTGTTGCTTTATTTTCTTGTACTGGAAAGGCCAATATCGTAGGAGTAAAGAGTAATAGAATATATTATTTTTTTGTTGCAAAAAATGATGTACTACAAAAACCGTTATGTATATTGGAGACATAAAATCTGCAGCATATAAATATGTATGTTTTTATTGCACACATTTGTGGATATATTTTATCTCAAATGGAACTACGTCTTAATAGTTTGAATTTTTGGTGACTTTTTGTAATTATTTTAAAAAATATTGTTTTAAATAAGGCGTAAATAAGACTTCACAAAAAAGTCTTTTATAATTCTTAAAACCAAAAAAATATTGAAAGTTTATATAAACATTATACAGTTTTTTGTTGTCCATATACATTTATATTAGACATTTAAAATTTATTCATACTTAGTTTGATTTGTTCAAAAAGTTTAAAGTCTCTAAAATGAATCGTAAAACGATTGCGGCTAATAAGTGTTGTTTATCTCATTGTAAGAGATCCAAAATATATTTTCCCGATTTAAAACTATTTACATTTCGCATGGACAACATTTAAATATAAAACTTCATAGAATGGAAAAATCAGATTTGAGACAAATAAATTCGTATTGTATTTTTACACTGCAATTCATAACAATATCAAACAGGTAATTTTGTTTTTGTTTTATACTATTAAATTTAAAAAATGATCAAATGTACATAATTTTGATTTCGTCACTGAAATGATGTTTGATCGCTTGAACATTTTACAGCGAACAAACATACAAACATGCGTATAATGTAATACAGAGGGTTGCATGTATGATTGAGTACGTATGCAGTCGGGCTTTTGTCAGCCGTACTCGACTCACATATATGTTGGAACTGCACAACATACCAGTTGTGACTCGATCGAACATTGTTGCATGAGGTTGGGTGGATTTATTATAAATCCACCAGCAAAAAAAGTGGGTATTTCGTTTGTATGAGCGTGGCGCTTCTTTGTACTCTTTGCTATCTATGTCCATTTATTTGTCCATTGTTCAATTTCTTGAAGAGCGATTTGTAGCTTGGTGGTAGACACCTTGTTGTTTGGACCTGTAGTCATTATTACCGTGTCATCTGCAAAAGTTCCGACAATACAACTTGGGTTTACTGGCAAATCATATGTGTACAACAAGTACAGCAGTGGGCCTAGTATACTTCCCTGAGGGACCCCGCGAATTATGGGATATAATTGCGGATATGCGTCAAGTAGTTTAACACGATAGACTTTCGCCAATATAGGATTCCAGTAGTTTACAGTATTGCTGAGGCAGGATAGTGTTTAGCTTATATATCAATTCTTAATTTCTGAGTGGCATTATTACGGTTTCTTTTATCTTGTATTAAACGTGATTGATGCCATTTTTTGCGAAGTTTTTTTTTATGATACACTAGATTTAAAATTTCGACCGAATACTTTTTATCAAATTGCTTACTATTCTGCAGTGGAGAACTGCGCCATGCCGATTTTTAAATCAAGCTCGTAAAGCACTCTAGGTCATTTATACTTCGTATTTTGCAAGATAGGTCAATGTGTTCATTTATCTGAGCCAGTCTGTTAGACGGTTTGTTAATGTCAGTATGCGTAGCATAGGTAATATGTTACATCCTTAAGTAAGCAATATTCGAGAATGGTCAGAATTTAAGTCGAGTCCTGCTTTAACTTCAATGTGTCTTTTTTGAATTTAATTTACAATGAAGAAATCAATGAAATCTGATCATTTATTTGTATCAGTTGGCATGCTTTAAGTAATTCCTTACCCTTTGTGGAATTTAGTCTTGACCCCTATTGAACATTTTTTGCGTTAAAATCACCACCAATTTATGCTTGTGTAATTTTAATATATCTATGTATTGTTCATATTTTACATTATGTCTTGGTGGACTATAGATGGACGTTATTAGGATTTTGAAACCACTCTCTTCAAGTGCAACGGTTGTTGCCTGGAACTGTTCATTAGAGAGTTTATTTTCTTGATAATGCTTAATATTGGATTTAATTATAACGGCACTTTCGCCTCTGGCATTATTGCTTGGATGAATTGTATAATAAGTATTATAGTTTTTAAAATTGATATACGATTCTTTTGTAAAATGAGTTTCGCTTATTAGGCATATATCTAGATTTTCTGTTTGCAGAAGTAATTCTAATTCGTTTTTGTGTTAAAGCAAACCATTTGCGTTCCATTCCATTATTTTGAGAGCAATCATTCAGATGTACAGTTGTTTTCGTTTTAAGTTGTCTAGGCGATTTTCTATTGCCATTAGTTTTTCAAGAATAACAGAGAGGACATTTTGTGATTCATCGGAAATATTTATTTTTTGGGCTACAGAGGTTGTTGGCTTAATAGCGTCTGCATATGATACATTAGCGATTCTTCAACTTGCGTATACTATTGGTCTTTTGATATTATCTGTTTGAATTGGGACAGGAAGTTTATTTGTTTTTTGGTCTCTTAATTTTTGAAGCTCCTTGCTACTACACAACCGCGATATGACACTGGGTGTTGCTTATAGCTTCATGCTTACCTGCACATTTCACACACCTAGGCTGCTTTTGACAGTAGTTTTTGGTATGGTTGAAGGATTGACATTTGATGCACTGCGGAATAAGTTTAGAAGGTTTTATTGTTTCTATAGATACTATTGTGTTCACGATTTCTTTGATTTCATGGATTTTGTTCGTATCTTCTACTGACTCGAAGGTTAAGATGAACATATCCAGTGGTTTCTTGGTTTTAAATTGTAGTTTGTTAAGTGAGCTGACAATTTTAAAACCCTTTTCTGCAAGGTCGCCTACTATATCTTTAGGGTCGCATGAGTGATGCAGGTTTTTTGCTATAACTCTTATTGGTCTAAATTGTTTATCTTCGTAAGAGTACCATGAGAAATTTGCTTTATTTAAAGATCTAGTTATTTCCCGATAATCGTTGCCATCAAAAATGCTGATTTTACATAAGTTGTTATTCATTAATTTCAGCAAAAATTTATTTTTGCTTTCTATGTAATTATTTTTCGTATGTCATTGTAATTATCAGAGACAGTTACCATAATAGGAGGTGGACGTAGCTTGGTGGATGCCTTTTCCGTTTCATTAGAATGCTTTTGTGTCATATTGTTAAGAATTGGTGACACACTAGGAGATGTGGTAGCTTTACGCTTTTTTGAGGCTGTTTTATTTTTTTTAACGATCCAGTCGGTTTCTTGAGCAATCTCTTCCTCATCTGTTTCGAAAGTAATGTTGGTTTGTTGATTTACTTTGTTTATTTGAGGGTTGTTCTTTTATTTTAGTGTCTTCTGCATTAAGCATTATATAGCCATTTAGGCCATTTTCACTAATTAGTGAGTGTCGTCGTATAAAACTTTCACAATTGTTCATGA